ATTTTGAGAAAAAATAATAAATAAACAAAGTAAACAAATAAATAAGAGAAAGACTCTAGTGGAAGTACTGAGCTAAGAGTATCCATGTACTGAGAAAGCCTCAGCATGGTGTCCAATATAGGTACTTCAAAAAGTCTCAGTAATTATACTGATGTAGGTACTGCATTGAGTATCTATAGCAGTATGTTTACTGAACAAGTACTTGTATAGGTACCCGCACCTGTAATTCTACTGAGGAACGTTCTACAGGGTATCCTAGATTTATCGTGTTCTGTGTAGCAACTGTTCATTCACCGTTTTTTTGCACACACGGCTTCATATAAACAACTCGACAAAACATAAGAAATTAATATTTTTTCATACTAATTTTTTCTAGATTATTTCTTGATTATTTACTAGTCAGGAACATGCCGATCTCGATCGTAAATTGAGAGAGGACTAACCTGAAGTGGTCTGGTGGAGATCTGATCAACTCAGGTCCAGTCAGATTCTGAAATTTGACGTGCTTGAACTTTCAGAATTGGAAAAATTAAATTAAATAAAATCGAAAAAATGTCATAAATTGCTTTGAGAGGAACAAAAATGAAAGAAGTCAAAGGTTAGGCTCGATCATCAACATACTGCAATTTTGACAACAGGGCATCTAAAAATACTGTGCAACAGTACCCAGTTGAGTATTTGATCAGTACCTTCAAGTACCAATTTACTGAACATTTTGTAACAGGGTACCCGATAAGGTACTTTAGTACCCAACAGATCCTCGGACATACTAGTAGCAGGGTACTTTTTCGGGTACCCTTGACTCAGTACATTCACTAGGGGAGGTATCAACTTGCACATATATGAAGAGAAAAAAGTAGTCGCACGTCTTTAAGAATATCTTTTTTTTTTAATGATTGTTAAACAAGTGGCTTAGCATTTTGATTAACAAAGCATTCTATAAATAATAATTTTCATATTGGATATGTTTATAGAAACACAAATAATCGGAATAAAGATTCTACATCTAAACGCGTTCAATTGCTTTAAAAAGAACGATAAAATACGAGTAAAAATATGTTTTCTTAACAAATATGTCGGAGTTAATATACGTTTTGGCCTTTCAACACAGTAACAATCATGAAATTTGTACTGAAAATAAATAAAAACACTTAATTTAACGTGTCGAAGGAATCGTTAGAACGCTGTTTTTAAATTATTTCAATATCTTATGTATTTTTAGTGAGTCATTACTAGAGATCCTCTAGGGTACGAATCAATACGTTTCTGTATACGTCAAGTACCACGTAGTAAGTGATATACACGAAATGCATGTAACAATCAAAATTTTCTCCAGGCCTATTCTAGCGGTTCTTCTAAATGATCAACTAATTAGTTTTTAACTAATCCTATATCATTCGACAGTGAAATGTTTACACTTCACCGGAAATTAAAAAGACTTTAAGATTATCTGAATTCAGATAGGGAAGAAAGGAAGGAGACCTTTAGAATATAGTGCATTTTTATAGTATCTGAAGTCAAATGTTTTAATAAATTGAAATAAAGCATCTTTGTTTGAAAGGCAACATATATCGTAGTACCAAACGAAGAAGAAAGGATGGATTTCGTTTTGTAGATATCAATAAAACGAAGTAAAATTCAATAGTGACGAAAAATAATCAACATGGGGATTACTATTAATTGATTTTTTTTCCTTATGATAAAGATTTAATCACTCATAATATAAGATTGTTGATCTTATCAATACTACCTTTAACTAGCTGCAGAGTAATATTGCATACAAAAGAACTATATATACTTTAGTAGAAATTAGCGATGGTCAAGATCAAGAAGTGTTAATATAATGCTTACCTAGTTGCTGAGTAGTTCTTGCAGTTGTCGTTGTAGTTGGCATTGACGTTGTTGTTGAAGTGTTCGTCGCTATTTATTATTACAGAAAAATTTATGTAATCAAAGCGGATAGTTTAGGTCTGACATAGAGTACGATGTAGAACTCGAAGCATTTAAGGTTCAGATGAAGTATAAGCAGGGTTTCAAAGTAGAACACTGATCTCCAATGATCTGAAAAGGGATCTGTTTTCTTTCAAAACTGATTTTTGATGGAAAACGTCTGTGTTCATCGAAGACCGAAAACCCAGTAAAATTTTCGACAATTCTATTCGATTTGACGCGGTTAAATCAAATTAAATCGAATCGCATCGAGTGGAATCAAATCCATCGAAACTGTTCCTGTTATATTTTAAATACAAGTAAAAGATTTAAATGTACTGACTATTGTTGCAGTGCAAGATCATTATTCGAAGTATGAAGTTTGTGATTTCAACCTGTCACATAAATTGCCTACAAGCCAGTGTTTTCGTCGTCTTAGACCATTAGAATATTCTGCTGTCATATTAGCAGTGGTGAGTGGAATGGCTTCACAGAGATATTCGAAAGAACCGAAGAGTACTGTACAGATAAATTGTTACAAACTCTCTCTCTCTCTCGTCCCTCTTGTCGTCAGACAGTTTGAATATTGACATTCTTCGTTTAAGAAAGAAATCTCAAATACTTGATACAAGCGGACATAGTCTCCAAAATAATCAGCTGTACCAAGAGCATCCCCCAATATGCATTCTGTGCTTATTAGTATTTTTCTAAGGTGACTGAGTCAGCAGTGCCACAAGTTGTGAAATATAATTTACATACACAGTTGCGTTACTGATCATTAGTGGTATATTCATTCAATTCAATGACTAAAGCACTCTTGAGCTCTAGAGTCTACTTCATCGTAGCTAAATGATGAGTCTTCAATTTCGCAAGATTAGTCATTAGAAACATGACAGAGAGAAACATGAATGTGCTTTCTTTCGAACTAGATGTTGATTGCAGTTGTCTTGAAAAAAGACTGTCGAGTATACAACAAAAACTGTGAATAAAGAGAAATGTGGCACAATAGAATTGAAATGCTGTTCTGGAGATTCTAACATATGACACGTTCTACAGAATCGAATCGAATAATCAATTATTCAATTTGTTTCGGTTTCTGATGTACATTCAAAAACTCACTACGTCTTCATGCATCCCTAAATATAACTGAAACAGATTCTGTATTTCAAATTAATAGATATAGTGCATGAGAAGAGATGAAATCTTTTTTTCCAATGATTACAATTTGTATTCTCTCTATCATCCTTTATCTACTTTTTCAAAGGCTATTCGACTCTGCCCACTACTCCTACATCAACATGAACTGCATATGTGAGGGTGTGTCAATGATGAAGAAATAACTTTAAGAAAGATTCGACTTTCACTTGAACCTGTAGATCACTGTTTGTTTTCTTACTTGCCATCGGTGGACAGAGTTGCCGATTATAACTCGGCACCGGGTAGCAAACAGGAAGATTATGGCATTGAGGATGATGAACACATCTATATCCAGGTTCATAACAAAGATTGTTTGTGCCTACACATGCAGTCAGCTCAGAACAATACGCCAATAATTCATCGCTGCAAATGCCAATATTAATAGCACCTGCTATATATAAACAGACACAGCCTCCATTCGACGAACACCGTTCATATTGCGTCATTCCTTGACATATTTGAGATTTCACGCGAACTATCGATATACTAAATAAATAGAAGGACATGTAAAAAGAAAACAAGAATCAAACCTGTGAGGCTTAAAACGAAGATTGTTCAACATTAGATGAATAGAAAAAAATAGGTTTTAGAATTACCTGAATAGAATGAATACGAAACAACGAATTACTGTTGAAACCATCGCTTGCTTTAAAATTAGGCAGAATAGCGGCGGTACCCATCTTTATATACCATGAAGAGATAATGTTTTTCGTATTCGCCGAACGTGAAGAATCGCACCACCTATTCTTTCGATAAATAGAAATTTGATATTGCTCCATTGCTTTCTCTAAGCACTTAACTTTTCTCCGACAAAATAATCTTTATAGAAAAAAAAGCGTCGTAAAAGCGATATAGGATTGCTTCTGCGATATAAGCATTTAATACGCTCGTCCTATCATTCGAAACATGAATATTGTTATTGTCAATCATCGACTTACTATGTAATGACAGCCTACAACAATTTCAAGGACAAATTTTGTTTTTAATATTTGTACTTTTATTATAGGCAGCTTACAAAAGTTTGCACCTTCATCAAATCAAAGTCACAATCTATAGGTAGCCACATGCATTTTTACTTTGGACTTTGTCGTCGTTGACGGTTTGGATGCGTGTGCGGGCGTGTGATATGAGTGCGTAGGTGTGAGGCATGGGTGTGGGCATCGGTTGTGGATGTCGGTGTGAGTGTGGCTGAACGCACCACTAACAATCACACCCATACCCCATACCTTACACCCACACCCCA